CTCCTGACCCACAGGCACTGAGCACCGTGTTTATTTACTCGGGACAGTGCACATTAATCAACACATTTTAGCAACATCTGTGTAAATGTACTGGGATTAGCTCAGCGGCAAATTTGCACCTGTAGTCCCATCCATCACGGGGCACACACACACACACACACACACCTACAAAGCTGTACAGAGGTTAAATACATGTTGTATGCCTGCAGCTGTCTGAGTTTCCACACTGAAATATCTCAACAGCTCCTGGGTGATTGGGATGAAATGTGCTTCACACATGCAGGAGGAACTGTAATGACTCTGCTGATTACCTAGTTAACATCCTAATGTGTCCATCACCTTACTGCCCCCCCAGCCTCAGCTGGACTCAGCTGTGCTAACCATCAGCGTGTTAGCTGGATTATAATGGTCAAACGCGGACATGCCAGTGACGTCCCTCCGATGTCTCGATGGCCTGTCTGTGCTGCAGAGCCTTATAACAGACACATCCACTGAGTCCAGTGTGACATTGCTCCAGCTTGGCCCACACTCAGCACGGTGTCTGTTCAAGGATCTCCTGGGCTGCTCATTAAGTATGTTGAAGGTGAACTACTGTATGACTTGGGGATAGGAGGCTATGAAAATTTCATCAATCTGGTGAGTTGGGAGGGGGGACCAGCTGCTCCTGTCAGAGGCCACTTCTGGTGGATGAGCAGGGGGTCAGAGCAGGAGGGCGAGGCAGGGCGGGTGTGTGTGTGTGTGTGTGTGTGTGTGTGTGTTCTGTAACTTACAGTAAGCAGAGAGTCTCGTGTTGCTCCAACTGTGTTGAAGACACACTTCAGTTTTGCAGCTGGACAGGACACAGGAGTGAAAACTAGATCCAACACCACAACAGTCATTTTAACAGCAGGGCCACTGATCAATCACCTGATCATTGTCCTGATGATCCAAATGATCTGTTTACCCCCAGAATGTCAGACACTGGGAAAAAGTCCCACTGTGACTCTCCAGAACCAAAGGTGGCGTCTCCACACGTCTTGTTGTGTCCAACCAGCAGATCCACAGAGACTCAGCTGATTCTCATGTCTGACAAAGAAAAGCATCAGCTCCTCACATTAAAGAAGGTGGAACCAGAACATGTCGGTGACTGTTGCTTCTAAATAGCTGCTGATTCATTTTCTACCAGTGAACTGACTCATGGCTGCAGCTCTAGGTCACTGAATGGCTTCATGAGGACGACACAGTGGGTCGGACACAGCGGGTCGGACACAATGAGGGGATCTGGTCTGGAAGGAGGAGGTTTCCTCTTCCGACAGAGGAGACCTGACACCACTCTGGAGACTCGGCCCTGCTGGGCGCTGGGTGGTGTCCTCTCACCTGCCACCAGCTGTAGCCCTTAGGAAAATGTGCTAGCTGGTATAAAGTTAAATGGACCGCACTGATACTGCAGCACTTTTCTACCTTCCCTGGACAAAGCACTTTACAGATTCACCCGCCAGTGGTTAATAAATAAATAATACAAGCAATCTTTAAAAAGTCCCAGAGTTGCTGTTTGTGTCCAGACACTGTGGCTATCAGCAGAAACCTACAGAGGTCCTGAGTCAGTCCCCTCCCATAGAGCCACTGACTTCCACAGCAGGAGGACATGTGACCTTCTGTGTCTGGGGTCATGCTGTCCACTCCCCCCCAGTTGCTTGTGTGACAGACGTGTAAACAGATGCAGCTGTTGTTTGCTGTGGCAGGTGATTATAGTTGGCACCGGTGCCAAGGCAATTAAACCCGAGGGCTGACAGCACCATTTGGTGGGCTGTTATTTCAATGCTGGCGTAATTGTAGTAGCACGTTTTCAACTGCTAGGCTGAAGCCTCCGAACATCATTAATGAGAGCGGGAACACGTCAGACACAGAAGAACTGGCTCCGGCCTGTGTTGGTTTGATGTACAGTAATGAGATAGCTGCTGAGGACAATATGATAATCAGCCTCAGTGAGCTGGGTGTGGGTGAGCTCTGCTGCTATGAACATGCGCTATCCTCTTCAGAAACACTTTCACATTCAGCTCCGAGCCTCCCTGTCCGTCCACAGCCTGCTGTAGAAAGCCGGGCTTCATTTCCACACGTCATCTCAGGTGTCTCACATCAGAAAACAAACTAAGGAGATGCACGTGTCTCTGCTGGTTAAATCAGAAATCTAGTTACAATCTGTCTTTGTTTTCTCAGCTCCATGTAAGCCAGGGTCAAGCCTGGTCCAGAAGGAGCTGCTGTTTGTAGCCAGAAATCAGTCAGACCAGCATGAACTGTTCACAGGAGTCCTTGAAGCACAAACTGGTTGGGTTGCCTGTGTTATACATCTTTAACCATGAAGATTTAATATTCACCAAATGTCTCTAGAAAAACTGCTCCATGGGCACGACACTGTCTCAGCATTTCAGTAAATCCTCCTCTTGCTTTTCTGTCCGAGACACAGATGTCCAGACTGATCCCACTCTCAGGGCGTGACAGCAAACAGGAAGCTACAGCCAGCAGCTGGTTAGCTTAGCATAAAGACTTAGCATCAACCCATTCACACAAAAGTCTCGAATCAAATATTAGTGCATGTCAACACGTTTAGTAACTGGAAGCTGCTCATATGGGCCGTTCTTGTGCTTCGGTCACAGTTTCTGAAACATTTTCTTGTATTATTAAGAAAGAGATGTTAAATATTTCAACACATATTTTGGTCATGTTAATACACATACGCTCATGATGTCTCTATGTTTTTGTCCTCCACATTAGTTAACTGTACATTTAATACAGTGGAACAGTTAGACAGCCAGGACCCAGAGAAACCACTAAACTGCTGGTGTCTGAACATTTACAATCCTGTAAGATGTCTGAAATTAATCATTTGGACCAAATACAGTTGTTTATTAAAGTAAAATTATCTAAATTTTTAAAGACTTTTATCACTGATGTTCAACAATTTAGAAATTAAATACGAGCTTTACTGAGGACACAGAAGCCACGTTTACCAGTGAAGCTGTGTGCGTCTGTGGCATCTCCAGAGGTGGAGAGTAATGCAGTACATTTACACCCGAGGGTCTCCATGTCCTGCTACTTCAGATTTGGACTTTTTACTGCACTACATGCACAATATTTGATAACTTTAGAGTCAGATGAACAAGAATCAACAAGAATGTCTCATATTTACTGTGCAGCACCACAGCCACCCTGCAGGACACACTGGCTCAGCTGAGGCGGATGCTGCCGAGCAGTGAAGTGTGGATTAGTAAATCCTGCCCAGTGCTGCCAGCTGGTCCCCAGGAGCACATGACTCTGTTTGGCAGTGCAAAGCGCCTCACATGGTTTTTCTTTAATTATGATGCTGGGACTCAGCTGACCTCTGCTAACAGTGTTTAATCAGCAGAGCTCTGACTAATGGACAGACTGTGACGAGGCTCAGACTGGACTGTCACGAAGAAAGCTCCTGTCAGAGTGGGAGACTGACCCGCAGCAGGCAGGGGCACTGCTCCATCTTTATTTACCCGAGTGGGAAATCAGACCTTCTTCAAGGATCACAGCCTTAACAGGTGTCAGAGGACGAGACAGCGCAGGAGGACCTGCCAGTGGGGTCTGTGTGCAAGGACGCCTGTTCTGGATGAAACAGTAAAATACAATGGCAGTATTACACTTGTGTCAGTGTCAGATCACTGATGTACAATTCATTTACTTCCAAGCCTCCTGCATCACACAGAGGGCTGTATGTTCTCCAGCCTGGCCTCCCTGTGTATGCATGTCCCCTTCTGGACAGTGCTGGGGTTGAGCGGGAGGAAGAGGCCCCTGTTTGTACTGCAGACAGACCATTAAGCAGCATCAGATGTCTGAACGATTCCACTCAGTGGTCAGTTTATTAGGAACACCTAGCTCAGTCTAAATCCTCCTCCATGAAGGTGATGATGTTCAGCCTGTGTCACAGAGGTGCTGGTTCACTGGTGTGGTCACCGTGGAGGCTGCAGGTTGTGCTGCTCTTCACCTACACTGTGTTACACTGTTAGGTTGGAACTTTCATTCTGTGTGTATTCCACACAACAACTGGTGGCCATATATCCTGCTCATGTGCCAAGGCTAGCTGAGACATCTGAGACACTTCATTTTACCACCATGTATGCAAATGTCCAACATTACGATCCTCCTAAATTATGTAATGATCCATGTAGCCACAATGTTTGCGCCGTAGCCTCTGTATCTGTGTTAGAATCACCATGAAAGGTAACTAGCATAGGCTGAATCCACTGGGTCCTGTTAAACTCAGCAGTGTAGCTCCATTTATCTGAAAGCTCATGAGTTAACGGGAACCAGTGGAGCAGCCCGGCATTCTTGTGTATCTTTAGGAGTGAAAAGGTGACTCTGGTGCACTAAGTGGAAGTGAAGTGACATTTTAATGCTTAGACATCTAGAACTGTCACAACCGGAGCCGTGCAACAGAAATGAGTTGTGGCAGGTGACATCTGGAAAAAAAGACTTTGGATCATGTGAGATAAATCATGTGAGACAGAACATTTTAATTCCTCCCAAAGAGAAGGGAGACATTTTGTCATCTCCGTGAGTTATCACAAAGAGTATTTTGCTCTTCAAGTTTGGAGACGAAGTCAGTGGGTTACTTTTTGCTTTCTAACTTCTAAACTACCATCCTCTTTTAAGAGCACAGTCAAACTCCTCAAAGACACTCTGCAGCTAAAACAACGTTTAATCTGGGCCTCTTGGGGATCATGGAGGAGTGTTTTAAAGGAGATGAGGGTGTCAATTAAGGAGAAGAAACTTCAAAATGGAGGTGATTAAACTATGAAATCTTTAAAATGCTCCCCGCTGAATTGTCTTCTCTGTGGAAAAGGTTGGCAAAGTACACAGCTTTATTCTCC